ACAGGTAGCCAGCATAAATATCGTCCTATTCTACTGTGGCGAACGCGAACAGTGCGTGCGAGGAGCAGTGGCGGGGATCATTTTTCTAGACGTAATTTCAAATTACGTGTTGCATTTTAATATCCCTGTAACTGCAATTGTAAAATTCCTGATCGATTTAAATTATTATTAAATTATGTATGGCAAGGAATTATTGCCGAATGATAGTTACTATATGCGACGATCGCCGAATGTTGTCATGTACGTTTTTTGGGTAGCCTGTCTTAGACCGTAGATGCAACGTCAATATTTTAATATATAAACTTATTGATATGAGTGACCATTAAGGTTTTTAGGGTTCCTTGCTGATTGAGACACTGCCAGTGCGTATGTATTGACTAACAATTATCGAGAATGGCTTCACTCATTTTAAGATTGTGTCAAACGCCAATCAAATGAATTAACCAAGTTATGAACTATATTTCCGACTCTTGGCAAATTAAGTTTCAACTTTCGATAAAAGTGAATGTTATTTAAAAGAAATATATTCTATTTAATTCATTCATTTACTTCAACTGTATGCAACCCAACTTGAATTTATGGACTTTATACATTTTGTGTCGTTAACATCTGATGTGTATGGTCCTATATGTAGTTCTGCTTCCGTATATAAGTGTCAATTTAATGCCATGTATGCAGTTGATACATTAATTAATTCCTTAATAAAATCTTGTATTTGATGAGTATTATACTTATCATTAAAGATTATGTTTTATGTACTCGGTGTATTCAATAACACCGCAATTATGGAGGTTAATAATAAGAGAAAGGGTATGTTTATCTATCCAAAGTTTTATTCAATTTAGTGTCATGGGCTGCGAAAATATCAAAAGATAAAACTTATTGATGTATATTGATAATATTGGTACCAGGATTCACATTTTTATGCACGACAATAAATATTTGCTTAAATATGGAAAACGTATCAAACTAGTTATTGGGGTATACATTTTGAAAGAAAACACGAACACAAAAAAATAAGATATTGAATCCATAGCGACTCGTCCGACTGGAGTGTAGCATAGGTTTAATCCTATCCAAATGGATTCCGAGTCAGTTTATTACACAAAGCCGCCAGGACGAGTGAAATATACTGCGTTTCGAGTGACTCAAAATCGTGGGGTAAATAGACGTCCGCCATCGCCTGAATAAGACCAGTTATTGTGTATTCCATACAGCCACAGTCAAATTCTACAAGCGCACACAAGCAGTGATTCGCGCTGATCTGATAAATCACTGGGTATTCCGAATTAAACGTTTAATTTCAAATTCACACAAGGCAGCAATTCAGTAACCTTTTTCTTGGACAAATGTGCAAATCATGAACACCATTTCAAACAGTCTCGTCTACACATGCACGATCGCGTTATCTCCCAGGCAATGTATGGGTTGCAAAGGAGATAATGCAAATATGACAGCCTATTTGTCCAATCGATGCATAGAATGTTGTGTCTTCTATTACATATTGTATACCAACTAAACTTATTATCAAGAATTCACAACAACATACATCTGACCAGAAGGTATGGCGTTCTGCATGTAAATGTTGCGCATCGTTGTGTAATGTCGCGCATCTCTATGCAGTGTTAGTATTATGTATTATTATTCCTCGTGGACCGGATATGCCTCTTGCGGTCAGAGGTCATACAGCGGAAACGCCAGAGCTTGCAAGCTTGTGTTTTACAATATGCCTTATAAGGATCACTAAAAAACGAATGCAATTGTTCCGAGCTACTTGTGTTTGTTTTATTTTATGTGTGTTATTTATCTTATTTCTATCATTTATTCAGACGTTTACAGTTCGAATTGATATTTTTGTACCTGACTAACATTCGGTCGCGCTCGCAAATTCTTTGAACTAGAATTCCCGCCGGCGCACGAACCCCGACCAAAACGCACATTTTTTTGAATGTGGTTATATTTCAGCCCTAATATTTTACCGTGTTCGGAAACTCTAATGTGATCGATGTTTTATAAAGGTAATTCCCGCAACATAACAGTAAAATTCTGTCATCTCGGGTAACACTCTGTATCGGTAACTGGCTGACGCCAGTTCGGAGTACTCGCGGCCCAAATATGGTAAAACAGGGCCGGGTGTGATATGGAAAATTAATTGCACGGTTCACTTACCGGGTTACTCGTAGCGTTACCAGACCGGGGCGCAATACGAGGTAAGTGTGCATTTCTATATAACGTTGCAGATTCTTATGGAGCCTTGCATTATAGTAAAGTGTGCTCAATGTAATCCAAGAACACGGTATAACAATTCACTGTCGAAGGCCATTTTTAATTTGAAGAAAAGTGCTTATCACGTGACACCGGCCTCAAAAACGCTGTCGTCATTAGATCTCGCGCCATCTTGGTACTGTAGGTAACAACAAAAATAGCCTCTGACATGCCGTGCAATATAAGTATGAACTATTTATGAGCCGATTAAAACAAATACACGTACTTTTCTTTAGATCTGTAGCTAATATATCACGAGTCGATTCACGAATTCACACGACTACAGCGCCGATCATCAAAGATATTTCCGTTCAACCTTATTTCTGAATACATTAACATTTATTTGCATGATTTATAAGCCTGAATGTCCATTGTTTGCCAAATAATTACGGAAAACGTGTTTTCGCCAATGTGCAAAGACCGGAAGAAGTGCAGCTGTTATATTTCCACAAATAAAACAAAAAATATGGAATAAAATACAACGATCTAGATTCGTTGTTTGATATTTCTACGGATGATGTAAATTTTGACACATTTATCAATTTTTTTTATTTTGGTAATAATTTTTCGTGTTTATAATCACAGATTGTTCGATTACAGATCCTGTTAAAGAAGTTGGCATGGAGTGTTTCATTATACACAAATTAGTGTTGATTAGGAGTATTTGATAAATTCTCGGTTTTATTCAATGGTGTTAGTTGATCAAAAACCCCACAATAGTTTTGGAAGTTTGGGTATGTCATGTTCACCATTTATATTATTTTTTTCTATATTTGGTTTGACATTTGATCGACAAAAATAAAGTTCCCCATTTTTACTGTAGTACATGTCACAGCTTGCTCTCATTTATCTAACTATGCAATTACACATCACATCCCACAAAGTAAAGAAAAAAAATACTTGTAATTGGCCACAGTACTGAAACAAATAACTTTCTCGCTGCCTTGTGTTGGTTGACGTCTGCTATGTTTTTTGTATGTACATCATCGATATTTATTTTTATTACTTTGTAAAAAGAACATTAGTTTGATTTTTGAGTGGACTAGATTATAAGTCAAAGCAGGATAAAAAAAAATCAACAATAACCACTGAAACAGTGCTACATTGTCGTTTCTGGTCCCCAAAACGGCTTCACTAATTACCTAACATATGACACACAGACGAGCATCACCAGCTCCAACCTATTTGAATAATTAGAAATCTTCCACGTCAATCGTTTCCAATTGATCAGTATCCAATACGGCGCAGTGCGCGAGTGGTGTATGTTCCGGGAACCATAATTCGACCATGATTTTACTACATTTCACGAATCAAAGGGGATTGGGCCATTCAAATTGTTGTTGTGATTACGCATAGCATAATAAATTTAATAATGGTGTTGGTACTTCGATTTCATATTCCATGATACCAAGTTTCGGCATATTATAGGAAACATTGTGGAAAGCACAATGACCAATATATTAAAATCAGTAGTGGTGCAAGAACGTTTCTAGATTTAATGGAATAGAATAAAATATTTTGAATTCTGTTGACAGATCCCTAAAATACAAATGCGACTCATTATTTCAGAACATTATAGAAAAACAACAATAACGAGTGTGAACCATTCAAATATACAGTACAGTACAGTACAGTCAACACAAAAGTTATCTTATTGCCACTTCTTCTGAAAAAAAAGTAAACTAAATTATGTAGCCTGAATGACGTTGTCATCCCTAATTCACTATTGAATTATGGGAGTTACTGCAGGTCCAATAGCTTCGAGTATTTGTAGATATTTCGAGGTTTGGAAAACCAACCAGAAGTGTCGATGGCAGGAATAACCCACTTAGTATATGGTCAACACACTGTTTTCGTCCCCGAATGATGTAGTGTACCTTGAATTGTTGACATCGCGAAAACGCATTTAATTAGATATCGATATAGTCCCAAGCGAAGATAACAATACACGCTAAAAATGCAAAGGCTCATAGGTAGACGCTTGTTTGTAAACACGCTATGACCACCTGACGCATGCGCAGGTGACGACTCCCCTGCTTTAACATAGTCCGAAATATGACAAACGTGTGTGGGCACTGATACCGCATTGTACAAACACAAAGACTACAGTGATCTTGAATGCCCGGCTCTATAAAAAAAAAACGCATTTTCTGGTCATTGAAACGAAATAATTTTGAAGTGAGATTACTTTTTGTAATCAGTACATGATTACAAAAAGTAGTCTCACCTCAAAATTATGTGTGAATAAATAAATGAATTGAAAAATAATATTACTTGATTTTGTTATTGTTATTAAGAAATTGCTGAATGTACTTTGAGAACTATGCATGTTCAGTTCAGCATGGATTGCACGGTACAACATTGTTTATGTTGTTTGCATCATGACTCTGTCTCTTATATTTTCTTAATTCGGTATGCAAAATTGCTGTGCAATGAATGTTAATTTCTTCTGACCATTTTACCAACTCCTGGAGTATTCCCGAAGTCATACTGCACATACACCTTTGCTGAGTAGACCAACCAACCACAGTGAGTTTTGTTTGGTAACAGTTGCATCATCAAAACTAGTATTACGTTTTGAAGAATTTATTCTAATGATTGAAAATTGGCAGTTCTTCAGGTTAAAATAGGCCGTGTATTGTTATGCGTTTTCAAGATTCATTTTCAACATCTTTCTACCCACAATGACTGGTCAGCCCGCAACAAAATAACAAAAAACGCATACCACATTTTCTCCCAAATATCAAGATTTATTACCTATCCTATACCAGGTCCCATAGCGTGATGTGAATGATGTAATATTAATTATATAAAAACTACTGAACAAATGTAGAGTTGTGATTATTGAATTGATGAATATCAGTGAAATTCTGGTGTGATAGATTTTTTCTGGTACATGGTACCGGAAATAACAGACAAAATAACGTCGATGATTACCGATGTTTCTGTGACGAAAAACAAAGCGCCACCTAGGTGATCACATAAAAACATTATATAAAACGTTATACGGTACGAAGCATGCTCACTTATTATATTCAAGGTCCGAAATAATGTACACGTAAAAAGTGTTTAGGTTTATTCAAGGGTATTTATGAAAATTGCGTATGTTTAATTGTGATATGTAGTAAATTCGTTTAGAATATGAGATTATTGTGTATATAAGTACTGCGTAATTATATTTGATGACAATAGAAATAAACAATACATATGTTCCGAATGCAAACAACACGTGTATATTGTTGTATGTAATTACCATATTCACTCATATAATGTATTCAGTGTTGTCAGAACCGCACTTATAAAGTATAAAGAGAATACGCAGTTAAGTATCATCATGCTTATGTGGAATATATATCAAATATATGTTTGACAGTTACATGAATATATAATGATGTACTTTAAACACGTACTGAAGTGTTATATATAACACTGAATTATTTTGGAATATAGGTCCAAAAAAAGCCAGGGGTCGTTTTTTTGTGTGCAACGCTCGTGTTGTTTGTGTGTATGCTGACTATGTTACTATACATTTGGTAATGGGACCTGGTGAATTATTATGAGCACAGTAGAAGGTTTCATCAACATGTATAATATAATAATATTATTCGCTGATATCTATAGCAGGCACTATTGAACGGTAACCATGGTAGCACTACAGGGATAAATACTTTGCTATTGTAAGCATCGTCTTAAACGTATTCATCTGTACCGAGTTATTCGCCACATCATTCCTATGGGCAACTGTAATTTCAAAAAAAGTACGTTAAATACGAATTATATTTGACATCTGCTATTGTTGTAATACGCCGAGCAGTATCTACATCTAACTCGTACGATATATATTTTTAAGGGTGCTCTCTAGGGGCGAACATAATCGGTGACGTCACTTAGCCGCTGACGTACCTTGATGAAAAAAAATGTTATTCAAAGTAACATTTTGGTTATACAGTCGTTTTTCATTTAATACATAGTCACTCTAAGTTTCGTCGCTAGGTGGCGCAATCCATAGCTATATTGTATAACGTGCTGTGTTGAGCAGTTTGATAACAAGATTTACAAATTTACCTTCCATTTACTTCATAACTGTTTCCCAGTTCCTCCTGGTCGTAAGTATACGTCCCATTAAGCAGACGAAATCCTTTGAATTCATAGTCTTCGGAATCCGTTTCGTTGGTCTTAATACCTAACATTCCGAATGTGTTGCCCATCAACTCAGAATCTTTGTGAATACCAATAAATAAACGGTTTCGGTTGTTACGGGTGTTCTTATCCCACTCGACCCACCAACGCCCGCCTTGGGAGAAGACGACACTCGTGGCATTGCTGATAATTTGAGTACTAACCGCCAAATCAGGGGTCATGTACGTAGTTTGGTTGTTTATCACCCCGTCAATCTGCGAATTACAATGTATATTAGTGTAATTAATGAATTCATATTTAAAACATTATTACTAACTGTGAAATAATTGAATTCGTGCAATATGAATAACAATTCATACAGATTTCTACTACATTTGAGTTTCAATTACATTCGTATGACACTGGTATGTTTTATTGACCTTCGTGCGTCCGTGTGTCCGTACATCCCTGTGTCCATGGATCCCTGCGTGCGTGTGTGCGTCCGAACCTACATCTTAGACTGATAACATTCGAACTTCACACATACATCATACATAATATTATACATGTGCACATCAATTTGTTTCACGGTCTGATTCAAGATGGTCGAATGGAGGCCATTTTTGTGCTTAAAAATCATCGAAAACAAGAATTGTCACATTACGGGACCTTGATGCATATCATACTGTTTTTCAGATTGGATTTAAAGCGGGAGGGTCGTCACCTTCGCACGCGCGGGAATTGAGTCCCAAGCAACGATAACAACACACGCTAAAAACGCAAAGGCTCATGGGTAGACGATTGTTTTTGTTTGTTTTGTTTGTTTTTTTTAAATGTTTTTGTGCCAGGCAACAGTTCCTGACATTGAATGTCACTGTTGTCTCTCCTGACTTTTTGTTGTTGTAAGTGCTAGTGCTGACACATAGTGTAGACGATTGTTTGTAAACACTGACACGCTATGGCCATCTGACGCATGCGCAGGTGACGACTCCCCCGCTTTAAAATAGATGATCGGTGGCTATTTCATTTAATGAATGCAGTTCTGGTGCCATATCTCTGCCATGCTTTGACTGAATATGTTCAAATTTTATATATTCATTATACTTCATGTCATAGATATACAGGTATATTGGCTTGACTATCTGATTCAAATAGCCGAATTGTATATATTCACTATACATTCATGTTATAGATATACATATGTATTCAACATGGCCGACCAGTGGCCATTTTGTTTCAATTAATACTGTTCCAAAGCAATATCTCCAAATATGGACAAGTACTCGTTTGACGATCATAAACAAGATAACTGAATGTCAATCAAGTCAATGTTGAAAAAATCATCATAATTAAGCATCAGCCTCTGGATCCATATTTCTGACATGTTTATGTTCCAACTATATTACTATAAACAAAACTATATATCTTAAATTGTATAACTAACGGGGACTGTGCCATGCATTGCTTGTTTTAATTTGTTCCATTTTACTTTTGAAGAGAAGGGTGGAAATATTATTGAAACTTACTACAACCTACTGCAATGCACCGTTCATATTAAGTCGCGCCCTCTAGCGGCAAGGCGCCTACGTGATGTAAGTGGTGACCTGATCTGGTGGCCGTTCACACTACTGGCGACAGTGAAGACTATATCACTTTACTGAATACCATTTTACTGCACAGCCAATCGAAATTGTCTATTTGATCCAACCTACGTCATTTTCGGAAACTGATATAACCATGGAATGTCTAAAGGAATATCTCCCTTCCAACCAGCTATTTTAGACATTTACTATGAAATATTCATAAATCTAAAAACAATCCTGACAATGAAAAATAAGCGTGCATTAAAGGCGTAGTTAATTTATTAACCACTGTCTGAGAGAATCAGGCAGATTTGAATAAAAGTGGGAAGATGGGGGTCGGCGGATTTCTTTTATATTCTGAGGTTTAAGTACAGCAAGGGTCTCTACTACGAAAATAAGGTTAAACATTTCTGATCATAATTATTTTCATAGTTATCCCACCCCCCTAAAATATACCCTTTTTGGGTATCTTCAAAACCTCGCATCTTTCAATTTATGGTCATTTTCATGACCCCCTTAAAGTAACTTAAGAGTTTGCGATTCAAATTAAATTTCCAGGGCTTAAAATCTAACCCCTTTTCTTTACATTCATGTAAACAAAATTTAAAACAAAGCATGGAAAGCTTCCATTTTTGCAATAGGGGTGTTGCAATTTTTTGCATTTTTCAAGAAGCGGAAAAAAGCTATATTTTGGCAATATTCAAAGCTGTATAAAAAAAATGGCCCAACTTTTTTCAGGCTGATTTTTTCATAGAATGTGAACCAAACATAGGTCAACCCATTACAAGTTTCAAATCCGTGGAGTGTCGTCAGCTCTTTTGTCAGGAGCTGCTTAAAATTCAACCTTTTCAAGGAAACATGACATTTTGGAATCTTGTACATGGTGCCAATGAATTATAATTATGTGCAGTAAACCAAACATAAGCATTTGAAAAAACACCTTACACCAAGAGCATGTCCTTAAGAAATTCTGGCAAATATAATTTCAGGGATTTCCATCTGTTTACACCCCTATAACGAAAAATGGACTGCCCCTATGTGATAATGTACATCTAAATCATACATACGAGTCATAGATTACTTGTATAACACAAAACGGGAATATGATAAGGAAGGCATATAATGATAAAAAATAACTTAATTAGTAATCCATTGGTACATGGACTTTATAAAAACATTACAGGTCTTAGAATCAACCTTTAGGGTCACACATATCACGAAAATACACAACAAATGACACCATAAAGTTTTAAGAACAATAATGATTACAATAAATTTCTGTCAATTTTTATGTCATTTCCTTTATGGTCTCAACTGGCAGGTGCAAATATTTACATTAAAATCAGTTTGGATTTCAGAGGCAGATGGATAGGAGATCGCCCCCCCCCCGGAAAAAACGGGGGAGGTAGGCCTAAAGACATAACCCCCGAATTCATTTTTTGCATGAGGTAAAAGCAACTCCTGAGAAAATTATTCATGTTTGTTTTGCTCCTTGTTTAAAAAAAATAAAAGTTGCCTTTGCTGAGCTAAGATATTTGCAATTAGTAATCAAGAAAGGTAATTAATTTAGTAAGTATTTTGTTCCCTGTTTTATCATTTCAAAAATACACCTTTATTAAATTGTGAACAATATTACATTGTTGTATAAAGTGTATCATTTGGTGCCATACGAGAGTGTTCTTAACTTGAAATGTCAAAAATGGGCTTAATGGATTTTGCAACCTAACCCAGGTAGATTGGAAAGATCAATGTATGTATAAGACGACTGATAGTTAACTATAGTTAATACACACGTATGCAAAGCAGAACCTAATTAAGTTCCAAGATTTTCCCTCGACGGAGTAATGACTGAGTGAAACCTTTGCAATCGCCATTGTTAGGCCTAGCATATTTATACCTGAATACTATCAAAACATTTTAGCGATGATGAAAGAAACTAACAATTTTCATCATCTACTTTGCAATTGTTCCGTTCAGTTTACGGAGTACAATGTTTCTTTCAGTTTACGTAGTAGCGCAAGTACACTGCTGTATGTACTCTTCCAGTGGCTTCAAAAAGCAGACTATTCTAGACAATGATCCTGCATCCTTTATTTTGAATTGTTCACATATCTCTTTCGAGTCTTTCAATTTGAGCAATTTCTCCAGCGTGCGATTTTCATAGAGATGAAATAAGTTCATTCCTCTGAACATAATTGGATGTTGCAACCCCAATTCTTGGAAGACAAGATCATGCGTATCAAGGCGTTCGCTATCAGCATCATACTTGTCATCATCGTCCTCGCTGTCATCAGGCTACTGGTTACTCTGCATTGGGTCAGCAACAGGCAGGTGACTTCTTCACTTAGCCTGCTTCTGCTTAGCTGCAAGCCTGCTAAAATAGCTTTCTTTTTGTCTGGTTGTTTTTCACTCTGATGAAGTGAACATCAGATCTCCATCATCCCTCTTCAAGAACCGCATTTCTTTGGAGACTTGAGCTGGATCAGCTTTACGGCCTGTTTTGTTACCGGTTTCAAACTTCTCAATTAGATAGGATCTTACACCTTGAGTTACTTTCTGGTGTTTTTTCGGTTCTTTCAAAGCACAGCCCTTTTCAGCAACCTTCACTGCAGCGATCTCTTCACGACTAGAATCGATTGTTGGCATTAGTTTTCCTTTTGAAAAGTGACACCTTAGCTGCCCACTTTTTCCTGATGGCATCATACATTGTTCTTTTGGCACTTCTCGTTGGTGTTCCTCGGTGTCCATATGGTTTTTCCAGATCTTTGAAAGATGTGAATGTCTGTATGCATCCTTCCTCTTCACAGGAAAATACTTGCTGGGCATGTGAAGTCTCTGGAGTGGAATGTCTGAGTGTTCCTTTCTGCTGGGATGTCACTTCAGAGAGAGAAAGGATAGTTATGTCAGTAGGTCCTTAGTTGTATTGACGACTTGCAATGAACTTGCCAGTTGTTTTCTCTGGCCAAGTTTACCTCAGAAACTGCTACCCTACAATCCTTGGTACCTCTGTGGGAATCAAAAGCCTTCTTTATGTCCTCAGCAGTCACCACGTCATTCTTTTCACTGACATATGTGCTTTCATTGGAGCAATCTTTCTGTCACAGATATCCTTGCCAAACTGGGGATCAGATAAATCGTATCTCTTCACGGTTATACCTGTTCTGTTGCCAATGCCTGTGAGAGCGAATAGAAGCCGCCCATTGTGGTAGCAACCTGCGTTGTCACTCTTGAGGAAGGCATTGACAATCTTTGGGTTCAGTTGCTTGACCGTGGAAAGGACATGTTCAACAATCGATGCTACAGCAAACCAATTCTGGGTGCATGAATTGAAGACATGTACAAAACACTCCACTTGAAATTTGCCATTTTCTTTCAAAATGACACAAGACACATGCCAGCTTCTTCCTCTCTTGTCAAAGAAGTCAGCCATTTGCTCACGAAACTGCAAAGGAAGAAACTTCATCGCCCAATCCATGACCAAGAGAATGCTGGAATCATTTAGATTGTTCAGCACGTCATTTTTGGCGCACTCCTGATTTGATGTTCGTGCAATGTGCGCTTTCCAGGCATCAATGTCAGATTTAGCTATGTCAAACTCAAATAACATGCGTTCTTTTTCTTGAGGCGATAGAGAACTCTGGATATTGTTCCTGATACTGTCCATAATCACATCTAGTGTAGTACATCGCTCACAATTAAGTGTGTGGTTATGGCTGCATTCTGAGGAGAATGTATCAGACTTGTGGTCACTAAGAGCATATCTGAGACAATGATAAGTACATCCATCAGTAACGCTTGAAGTTAGACTTCAAATACAGTTTTGAAGATTTCGAATCGTGTCCAGTCTGACGACAAAACTCATCATCACATCCATCATCCCGATGGCTGGTCAGCATGTCATCTAGAGTATCAAATGCATGGCCACCCTTTGTCAATTTAATAATCTAATCCTTGGAGAGATTTCTGTTGGCTTGCTGAACATACTCGTAGCAAAAGCTTTGATATTGCTTTATGATTCTACTCGGAATAACAGTTTTGATAGCATTCGGAATTGTTATTCTTGTTCCATCATCCAGTTTCAAATCTCGTGTTCCGAAGGCAACATCTTGAAGGTAATGGGATGTAGATATGAAATCAATGAAATGGTCTACCTTTACTGTATTCAATAGACTTCGTTAG